ATTGATTTTTGTGTCTTAATTTTATATTTAATTTCCTTTCAAAGGAAGAAATAGGTTGTCATTTTAAAAATAATTGCTATCAGCAGCTATGCTTGAAACCATACTCGTCAGTCACTAATAACAAAAAGGCATTTTGTTAAATATGCTTGTCTTGATATGGCAGTTGATATTAATGTGTCTCATTGACTTGTTTTTGGTTGATTATTAGAATCCTTTTTTTTTCTAATGTCTTAAGTAACTATTAATTTGAGAATCTTAAATTTTTTTTTTTGGTTATATTTGTTCGTAGGTGGCAAGCTCTGGTCATATATCAGTAAATTTTTGAACAGAAGTCCTGAGGAAAGCTTTGAAATCAAGGAAATGAAAAAATCTACACTGACTAACGTTCACCTGCAACAGCCAACTTCTAGTCCTCAGGACAGCAGCAGCTTTGAATCCAGAGGAAGTGATGGTGCAAGCATGCTTAAAGTTCTGCCTTTGAAGACTAGTCTTACTCCAAGTTCTCAAGATGATAGCAACCAGGAAGATGATGGCCAAGATAGCTCTCCAAAGTGGCCAGATTCTGGTTCAAGTTCAGAAGAAGAATGCACTACTAGTTATTTAACATTATGCAATGAATATGGCCAAGAAAAGATTGAGCCAGGATCTTTGAATGAGGAGTCCTTCATGAAGACTGAAGGAAACGGTGTTGATACCAAAGCTATTAAAAGCTTCCCAGCATACCTTGTTGCTGACAGTGATAGCATCAGCACTCAGCCGAGAGCTCATGAGCTGAAGTTCTTCCCTAGAGATGATGACCCAGAAACAGTTAGTTCTCCAAGAACATCAGATTCCCTCAGTAGATCCAAAAACAGCCCCATGGAATTTTTTAGGATAGACAGTAAGGATAGCACAAGTGAACTCCTGGGACTTGATTTTGGAGAAAAATTGTATAGTCTAAAATCAGAACCTTTAAAACCATTCTTTACTCTTCCAGATGGAGACAGCACTTGTAAGAGTTTTAATACTAGTGAAAGCATGTTACAGTTTAAAGCTCAGGACACCATTAGCAGGGGCTCAGATGACTCAGTGCCAGTTATTTCATTTAAAGATGCTGCTTTTGATGATGTCAGTGGTACTGATGAAGGAAGACCTGATCTTCTTGTAAATTTACCTGGTGAATTGGAGCCAACAAAAGAAGCTGCAGGAATGGGACCTACTAAGTTTATACAGACTAATATAGGCATAATAGAAAGTAAACTATTAGAAGCCCCCGATGTTTTATGCCTCAGTCTTAGTACTGAACAATGCCAAGCACATGAAGAGAAAGGCACAGAGGAATTGAGTGATCCCTCTAGGCCCAAATCTCATAGTATAACAGAGAAACACTATGCACAGGAGGATCTTGGGACGTTATTTGTAGCAGCTCTTGATCATAGTAGTTCAGGAGACATGTCTTTGTTACACAGCTCAGATCCTAAATTTCAAGGACTTGGAGTGGTTGAGTCGGCAGTAACTGCAAACAACACCGAAGAAAGCTTATTCCATATTTCTAGTCCACTCTCAGGTGCTAATGAATATATTGCAAACACAGACACTTTAAAAACAGAAGAAGTATTGCTGTTTACAGATCAAACTGATGATTTAGCTAAAGAGGAACCGACTTCTTTATTCCAGAGAGACTCTGACTCTAAGGGAGAAAGTGGGTTAGCGCTAGAAGGAGACAAGGAAATACATCAGATTTTTGAGGACCTTGATAAAAAATTAGCACTAAACTCCAGGTTTTACATCCCAGAGGGCTGCATTCAAAGATGGGCAGCTGAAATGGTGGTAGCCCTTGATGCTTTACATAGAGAGGGAATTGTGTGCCGCGATTTGAACCCAAACAACATCTTATTGAATGATAGAGGTCAGGAACTTTTGCAAATGCATTTCTTTTTATTCGCTGTTGCTTCCAATTAACTGAGTAGGCGTTTTATCTTGTAATTAGTATCTTCATTTCCTGTCTGTAGCTTCATTATCAGTGCAGCAAATTCACCCCCAGTAATAGCTTCTAGTACTTAATGATGCCATTATTCTTAATGATACTGTTTTTAGCTACAAAAGGAGTAATTACAGTTCACTTCTGCAGAAAATGGAAGAGAAAAATGTTTTGATTTCTCCTGTCGTTTTGTTTTTAGGACACATTCAGCTAACGTATTTTAGCAGGTGGAGTGAGGTTGAAGATTCCTGTGACAGCGATGCCATAGAGAGAATGTACTGTGCCCCAGGTTAGAGCAATCTCCTAAAATGTTTCACTTGAAAAAGTGGTTGAGCAGCTCTCATTTCTTTATAGAAGTTGTATTTTTCACTAGCAGTTTACATGTGTGTTGGATTTGGTTATCTGTTTAACTCTTCCTAAAAGAAAATGTGGGGCTAAAACCATTAAATAATCCATAGGTATATATGTGTACATGTATGTTGTGTGTGTATTAATTGCTGTTGTTAAATGGGTTTATATAATACTTCACGTAGAACTGGCAAGGAATTCTTAGAAATGGCTTAACTTCTTAGTGTTTGGAAGGACCCTGACCCTCTTTAGATGATTTTTATTAAGATGTAAGAAGTAGCTGACTAAAAGGGTAAAATTCTTAAGGCCAAAAACAGATAAAATGGGGGTTTTTAAAAATGCAGTGTGATTTTAGTGATGAGGCAACCTGACATTTTAGAAAAAAATTTTAAGAGTTTTTTTCTATATTTGAGAACATTTAGAAAACATATTGTTCTTGTTTTAAATTAGCCTATTCAGCCAAAAATTGACACAACAAGTTTCTCTTGCCCTTACTGTATTGTCTTTATTTTTTAAAAATGAAAGATTTGTGTTTGCAGGTGTTAAGATCCTTTGCTGACAATTATAGGTAGCTTAAGCCTATGAATTGGATTTGAGTTAGTTTCTGTCTGTCATCAGTGCAAGATGGGACTGTACTTGAATCCAGAATTTGTTCACCTTTTGCCTAGCCTTAGCCTCTTTGGATGGCCAAAGTCACCCCACTGGCCTTCAAAGGAGTTTCAAGCTGATTATGTTGACATGATCTGCTTCGTTGTTGATCAATATTGTGTTTAATGCTTACTAGCTAACCAGTGTATTGATGCTAACCTTGTTTCTCTGCATAATAGGAAATGATTATAATTAGGATTGAAAGAGCTATATTATTTTTAGTTACAATCTTCATTGTTAAGAATTATTTCAGTATTAGAGAATAGCAAAAATTTTTAACCTACAAAACAAATATCCTAAAACTTTCCGAAAACAACTATTTGGGTTTTCTTTTCTTTCCTCCTCCTTCCAATTAGGACTGTTTGATTTTATTTTTTCTTAGGGACAATAGAGCACACTTACATTTTTTGTTTTTTTTTCAAATAGATAATGTGATGCTGTGTTCTGAAACCATGTTAGTGAGCTTTAGTTAATGGGATAACAAAAAATTTTATAGTGAAATCATTTTGTTATAGTTTTCTGATTTTTTTTTTATAGAGCCCCTCCCTCCACTTTCTAATTTGACAAGAAATAACATTTTAGGTACCCATGTACATAAATATGTTTGTTAATTATAATGAATTTAGAGCTTTTAGGAACAAAATTAAATCTGGGAATTCTTTTGAGTGAAGCCTGATATATCCTAAAGTGAAGCTGAGTGTAAACCACACAACAAAAACAAATGTTTATGGGGCGTTGTTTAGTGTTTATAACTAGCTCCTTATTTCCTGTTTTTATTGTTACTTTCTTATTGAAAACTATTTGTAAGTTTATACTTTGGCATTCTAGCAGATTATTTTTCTTTATTCGCAAGCTCAGTCATGTTACTTTAATATCCATAACATGTTGGCATCCTGAGAGCTTTAATATATGTGCAATAAAACCATACTATATTCATCAACAGATGCATACTTTCAATCTCGTGTAATGAAATACTGACTTTAATACAGATTAGTTTCCAAGTTCTAGTTTTAAAGCCTTTTCCCAGAAATTATAATTCTCTTAGTTTGCCGGCAGGTGGCAGTCTACCATTAATAGATTTTTGCTGTCCTCTCTCAGGTTGTCCTTCACCAGCTTTTGAAAAAAGCTATAGTCTGAAGAGGTGCTTTGTTGTAATTATTTGCATAAAAGAATTGTACTTTCAAGCTTCTTGAGTAGCAAAGTGTTTTAGTATTGTAGCATGCTTTGCACAATATGGAAAGTCTCTTCATTCCTTGGGCCTATCAGTTTTAGCAACAAGATAAAACAAAACCAGTAATGGCCATAACTGAAAAGTAATGCTGATGTTCTAATTTAGGTTATCTTAAACCTTGAGTGTTACAGAACTCAGTTAAATTTATGTGCTCCTGCCCCTCACTTATAACACAAGGGGAAATGAAGCAAAAATTTGTAGATTGCTGTTTGTCTCAAAACTAAATAACAGTGCTATTGGCAAAAACTACAGGTAGGCTTTCTTCTCTTCTCAAAGGGTAGGAGCAATGATAATATGTTAATATTTCAACGTTTAAAAATCACAAATCAATAAATACGTGGAGACATAGAGCACTTAGCCAACTTTGGATCCACCCTTAGAAACACTAAGAGTTGAAATAATTCCCCTCTCATGTGCCCCCTACCCTCCCACTTCCCAACGCTGTCCTTAGTATTATTGTCCAAGTAACTCTAAAGCATGTTAAGCAGCTGATGTTTGGTTAGAAAGTAAAGTTGTCACAAGATTATGATGAGAACAATTCATTTCTGTTTAAACAGCATGCAACCTCTACCCCTACCACTCCACCCTCCTGGGAATCCTTATCACATATTTGTCCTAAAAACATTATCCACCTGCCCTGTACTTTATAATATCAGCAATGTATCTTTTTATCTTGTGGGTGATGTGCCTTTATATTTTGAGAAAAATTTCCAGTAACAGATTCGATTTACATGGACAGAAACTTGAGCAAATGCCAGACTAGCAGGGGGGCCATTATTCTGCTCTATAAATAAGTTTAAAAAAGAAAAAACACACACACAGAAACCTGTGAATCAACATGTTTTGGTCTAATTGAGGGGAAAAGCAAGACAGATAAATTTTGAAATGCAAATGATCACCTTCTGTTATTTAAGTATAGTTTCTGCCAACTTTGTGATCTTAGATTTTAAAAAGTCATAGTCATTTCAACAATGTATACTCCTGAGGATGTCCAATATTCACAAGTTTCTACAACAAAACTGAGAACTTTTTTTAAAAAGTTGCTACTTTTTTATATTAAAGAAAACAATTCCAACAACAAAAAGACAAAAACCATGGAGCTTTCTCTGTCTACATCTGTGAAAAAGCCAGCACATAAATGGCTGCAGCTGCAGACCCATCAAGAGGGTCTTGAGAATACGAATTCGCTGATCAAACCCAGCCCTGTTTTCAAAGTAGAAGCCATTCCTTTTAGGTTCACTTTGTATCCTTAGATTATCTAGGATGATTCTCTAGAAAGGTTTTATTTTAAATAAACATCATTCATGGTAAATGGGTTCCTTTCATACCAGAGAAACATAGAATGGAGTTCAGGAAGAAAAAAAGCAAAGAAATAGTCCACAAAGTAGGAATAGATTGTATAGCATGACAATATAAATACAGCACTGTCTAGTTTCCACATTAGGAGACTTTTAGATGCTTTATTAGGAGACTTTTAGACAGGTTCTTCTATTTTTTGTCCTGAGAGATTACGGAATAAAAATTGGGGTAAATTGATTATTTTTTCTTCAGAGGACTTCCTTGTACTTACTCTGATTTTATTTCCATTTGTGCACATGCATAAGCACAAACGTTTTAAAGGATGTTATGTGCTTTATCGTTTGAGCTATTATTGTAATATAGAATAAACTTTTTTTACAATGTAGTGTTTCAGTATAAAGGAAAAATAAAATGTCAAGCAAGTATGTATGTTTTTCTTTTCCTACTACTATTTTTTTCTTGACTCTCATCAAAAAGCAACTAGAAAATAGAAACTATACTACTAAAACATACAAAAAAGCTGTATTTGGAAGTTTAATATGCAATCTAAGACAAGTGAGTAAAATTATTTATGTGTTAGTTATTATGCTAATGTAGTCACTTAAGTTTCCCATTCTAGTTTTAAACAAGTTGATACGGTTATACTATCAGTGTGTGTCCTTCCCTTTTATTTTCCATCCCGTTATGAACCTTTAATTTTAAATGCTTGAAATTTATTAATACATTGATATTTCTTATTAAATACTTTTCAGACTTGAGAATTTATAGGTGAATATGTGTGTAAATTGAAGGAGTCCAAAATGCTTTTCACTGCAGCCCAATCTCCACGCTCCCAGATGTCAAATGACAGCTTTGCTTCCTCTCTTAGGCGATTTCACACTTGGAAACAGCTCACAGCTGACGGTGAAAAGTGAAACATAGAAAAATCATGCTGAAAACTATCTGCAAAATTCAGTTTTAGAGCATGACATTTATTTACTACCATCCTTTGCTCTTCTAGCCTGACTTTATCAAATAATCCATGAATATATTTTTGGGGGTAGTCTCCCCTACCCTTCTCCATAAACATGCTTTCCACTCGATTTGTTTCTTTTTAGGCATGGCACTTGCTCTGTGTGATAGTTATGTATTTGATAACTAAAACTAAGACCATGGATGGTTTAAAATAAAATATTTTGAGATCATCAGAAGTTTAAGATTTAGAATATTTAGATGGAAGAAAACTACCAAACCTGGATCTTTGTCCCATATCAGGACTCATTGCTTGACCTCAAGCAATTTATGTAAGACTCTCTAGACCTCATTTAACTAAATAGTAGTAAAGTAGATTTGTTGATTATAAGAAAAATCACAGTTGTCAAATCATCTTGACACCCTTCTTGTACAAAATTTAGTCAAAATTCAAGTTTATCTTATGAAGGCAGGAGTTTTTTCCTCCAAGGATAAATATTGATTTTTTATTTAACATTAGTAGGGTTAAAAGAATGATTTCATTTAGAAGACTTTATAGGTATATATTTTTACTCATTTATAAAGTTTGTACATAAAGTGTATAATGTGGAAATGAGGGATTTATGGAAAATATTTTCATTTAGAGGAATGAAGTCAAGACAGCCTTTGAGTGTGGTAAAAGTTGAATGTCAAGATTCTCAACAAAAAAAATTGTTTAAAGAAGAAAAAAATTATTTGGATATGAGAATTTATGGGTCCTGGATAATTTCAGTAAGCATGAGGAATCTAATTTTAGGAATGTGAATTTTATA